CACAATGAGGAGATCACACAGGTGGGTGGAGAGGAGTAAGTGGCTCTGTAGTGGCAAAAGTAGTAGCTGCTATATACACACTGCTGTCCTCAGCACAGTCCCTGGGGGTACAAAGCTAGGTGTACGTTTTAATTCTTAACAACTTTCTTTTTTTTTTTTTTTTGGAACAGGGATTAAACCTAGGGGTAGGGGCAATTTAACCACCAAGTCACATCCCCAGCCCTTTATTTATTTATTTATTTAAAGACAGGATCTCCTGAGTTGTTTAAGACTTCTTACTAAATTGTTGAGGCTAGATTAGAACTCAGAATCCTCCTTCCTCTACTCCCTGAGTTGCTGGGATTACAGGAGTGCACCACCATGCCTGGCTTAAATCTTACAATTTTCACACAAAGATATATACACACCTTTTTACTCTATACACATGCATGTGTATGTATGCAGTAGATCAATAAATGATAGCTTAATAGATATACTATAGGTTATTGACAGAAAGACAAATGAATACAGAGAGGTAGAGAGAGAAATAGATGAAAAGGCTCAGTAGCTGGAGTCATGATAGCTGATTTCTCCCCAAGTCCCTTGAGGACCTTCTGCCAAATAATCTTTAAGTTTCTTTCCAACTATCTTATTGTTTGACGTGGACTAACAGGAATTCCTTGAAATACCATTACCTTTTAAAACCTAAAGCTTCCATTTAATTAAAAAAGTAAAATACATTTTTTTTTTGAGAAGCTGGAAAACAGAGAAGCAGGGAGGCGTCCATTTCTGTGGATCTTCCATTCAATATATATATATTGTCACTTCTTTTCATGCACAAAGAGCACATGTGAGTGGGGGGAGATACAAAGGACTCCACTCTGGAAAAGCATCGCATCTATGGAAATGTTTACTGCACCAGCATAAGTAACTGCTAGACTTCCAGAAAAAAAGAGCCCCCCCCTATCTTCTGAAATCATGGCAGCATTGCCTCTACTCAAGTTACCTGTGACATGCTTTAGGTTACAGTCTCTGCCAGTTCCATACAAAGGTTCTTAGCTGATGGGTAAATTTTACTTTTATCTTTATATTTCATTATGGTTTCAGCTAAGCAAAATACTGACTTAGCCCATGGACCTGTTTCCAGATGTGGTTCAGTGGTCCCCGGGACCAAATCAAACCAAACAAAAAGACTGCCATATGCCACCGCAACCAACTTTGCAAAATATTTGTCTGTGGGGCGAGTGGGGAGGGGTGGTACTGGGAAGAGAACCAGGTCCTTGTGCGCACAGGAGAAGCACTCTTAAGGTACACATCCCATCCCTGGGGTAGGAGACTAATGGCCTAACCACATCCTCAAGGCTCACCTCTCAATGACCTTATGTTGAGGCTGAAGCACTAACAGGAACTTTGGAGAGACACATGCAATCCAACCACAGCACCTAATAGGCAAGAGCCCAGAGAGTTGGTCTCCACTAGATGTGCCCTGTGTGAGGGAAGTCCTTCAGATTGACCTGAAGGATATCAAGTTAGGAACTCAGATCTCCAAGAAGGCTGAGAGACCTCTGGTACAGCAAATTCATGGCAGTTATAAAACCACTTCTCTTTTCTACAAGATGTAAGATATACATGTAACAGAAAACCTGTATTCTATGATATTAAACACTCAATGCCTACACATGTAACATTGTGACATCAGCAGTGGAATTCTCTACCCTAGTGAAGTTGCCTTTTCTCCTGTTAAATGGACCCCCCTCCAGCCCCACCATGGGAACATACCCAAAGTGAGAGGTAGAAGAATTAAAATGTTTCAACACAAACATCAAATGGAGAGAGAGAAGATAGTCATAGAACAACACAAATCACACCGAATCAACACTTGCCCTGCTTTCATAAGGAAGCAAGCCAGACCAAACCACTCTTAGGTAATCACTCCATCATAATGCCATTTGTGGAGGGGGGGGGAATCAAACCTTTTTTTTTTTTTTTTGAACCTACACCTGTCTTCCAGGGATATAATTTAATCCATAACACTCCCTGGTCCTATTTACCTGAGACATTTTATCATTAGGTGTTGAATTTGGTCCTGTATTTATTCTCCATCAACTCATACAATCATATGTCTGTCACATCACCTTTTCCTAGTCATCTAGCTTTTCTATGAATTATATTTATTTTATTTTCCTGAAGAATCTTTTCTAAATGTCAAATCTTGATTGCTACTATGTTTTTCCTTTAGGCACTTCAAAAATATTCTTTTTACTGCCTTCTGTCTTGCATAATTTCTAATAAGAATTCCACAGTCATTTAATAAACTATCGCTTTCATCTGGTTGACTCCAAGTGTTTTCCTTCATCCATAGTTTGTAAGGGGTCTCCATGAGCCTGGGTAGGGGTTTCACTGAGTTTCTCCTGCTGAGGTTTGCTAAGCTGTTTTAGTTTGTAGATTATGTCTTTCACCACATTTGGAAAATTGAGCCATACTTATTTTCTGTGCCATACATACTCCATCCTCCCATTTTGGATCTCTGATGACATTAATGCTAGACCATCTCATAGGTCACATAACAAAAGCAGCAGCAGTAACAAAACAAAACTTTCTTTTCTCCATTTTTGGCTTTGAGCAAACTCTGTTGATAAGTCTTCAGGTTCACTTACAATGGGCCTCCTGGGTGACCTATGCACAGTGGCTCCCAGGGCCACGGTCTTGCTCTCACTGAGCACATTACTTCTATTACTTTTATTCAAGATCCATTGAAGATAGTTGTCACTTCTGGGTTTCTGCACCCCTACGCATCCTCTGACTTTTGGACATGCAGTGACCCAAACACCCATCCTCTCTTGGCTGCACTTGTGACCAGCTGGCAAGAACAGGCATTAGGAAGTGGTGAACCAAAGGAGAACTCAGGGGAAACAGGCATTTAGGGCCAATGTTGGCTGTAGGAATAGAGCCCCATGGTTTTGGGCTACTTTACATAAGGGGCTCAGCATGAAGGGGCTCAGCCTTCATGTAACTCATGTAGTAAGTAAAACAGCCTTTCTTTCTCACACCTCTCAGTCAAGGAGTGTTACCATGTACACAGTGAGGAGGCCAGTTTCTGCTTATAGGAGAAACATGGAGACTACCTATCAGACAAGTCCCAGCCCTGCCCAGGAAGAGAGCCCAGGAATCCCTAGACAAAGGCACACAAGGTACACCAAAGGCATCCCTCCTCTACACTGCCTCCCTTAGCTCCTTCAGACTTCCTGCACATCTGCTATGGCTGTCACTCTGTGAACCTGGTCACTCTGTGAACCTGGAGTTGTCCAGATGGCCTTGTGCTTGCTCCTTGGGCACCCTCCTCCATTCTCCTCATTACACCTCTGCTGCCCCCCAGAATCTTCTTCCCCCCAGAATCTATTAGACAAAGTAGTCCTAAGGGCAAAGTTGGATTATAAATCTTTCCTTTCCTGGCTGCACACAGTGTGCCCCTGCCTCAAACTGGGAAGGGGATTGCTCTTAGGGGCATTTACTGTGCTCTTAAAGCTTCGTAAGTACAGTTTCTAACTGTAGAGGCCCTCCATTTTTTTTTCTTTTTCTTTTTTGGCAAGTTATACATTTATGCCGACTAAGAGGAAGGGTAGGAAAAAATTGCCAGTCCCAGCCCTACAGAGATGCCAGCGCTTAAAGGTGCAAGCATCCTCCCATACTGACTGACCTGAGGGTTTCTTTTCATGGGTGTGCACTTCACTGCACAAAAGTCAGGGTCCCTAGAACCCAAAAAGAAGAGAAATTCCACATGGGTGCACTTGGATTTGACTTAAGTAGTAACCAGATGTAGTATTTGGCTGGGCACAATTCAGGAGCCACTTGTCAAACTAACTTTATTTTTAGAACTACAAACGCCAAGCAAAACAGCTCCTCAGGAAAAACCCTCAGAGCCCAACTGCCACCACCGGCTTCCACAAGCCTCTCTCCCCCACACCAACCACCACCTCCCACAATCCTCCTGCTCTTGAGGCCGATTGGCTAGGTCGTGTGGGCGGAGCCAAAGAAGTCCC